CTTTGAACTTGTTGGGACGTTCACGTGCTGCTCTACTGAGACTAAGGACAGACAGACAATTGTCATCTTTGGCACGGATTGAGCATTTCCCAAAGCCAAAGCTGCCCTGAACAACCATCCCCGAGTTTAAAATACTTGGGGGTCAGAATTTCTATACCTTCCCTGGGCAGCTATGGAGGGAAGTTACAAAAGCCTGCTGAATTTATCACTTCTCCTGTGGCGATTTCTTCTTGGCAGGGTGAGAGAGATGAGTTGCTTAACTTCCAAATAAGATGAATAGAATTCTCAGTGGGATTTAATTATTTTTAGATGTTGTATCATTGGGATTTCTTACCCCAGCGTTTGACGCTTTTGGCTGAGATGATGAACCTGCTCTGAACCTATTCCACATGCCTGATTGAGTGCACGCTTGTACTCTCTCTCTGCCCCCGTTTCTCTGTTCCGTCCCTGCACCCCTAAACCTGTGGTTCTGAGGGGATTTTGTACTGAGCTTTGTTCCATTAGGTGCGGGCCATCAAATCTGTCTCTTGAGGGCTTAAGGCACAATTACAGTTATTCTACAGTTATTCTCTCACTGGGCTCCTCTTAAAATACTGTGTTTACACAGTACTGATCTTTTCAAATTGCATCCTAGCTAATTTATCCTACCAAATATTTTGTACTTTTTTATTAAGAACATAGTCTTATAATTTCTGGCAGTTTGAGTAATAAGTTTACATCTTTTTGTCTGAGGGCGTTTGTGTAAGCAGTAAAATTCCCACTGTTTTTAAAATGTTCCATGATGATGCTTGAAGCTCAGACACTTTGTTACGTTTAGGTACAAGAACCAAACAGCAGTGTATTTTGTGTTGAAATAAGTATTTAAGAGAAATGCCTAGGCAATAAGAAAAGAAGTAAGAGTGGGGTTTGTCTTTTTAATGGTACAAGCTACAGTTATTAGCATTACCATTAGCATCAGGGATTTCTTCTCTAAGGAAAAAAACTTTCAGTTAGATGGTATTGTTGCAGATAGCAGTTTATTTTTCATCACTACATCTTTTTTATATCTGCATTCAGTATTTAAAAGTATTTCCTTTGGCAAATGGAAGTCAAAAAGCTCTGCTCAATTCTGGCATGAGTGCGTTTTTCATGCTGCTCCCAGATTGTCCATCTGTAAGCACTGGCCCTGCGTGAACTGCCAGCAAGGTGCGGAGAGCAAATATTGCTAATGTTTTCAAGTCTTTTGAGGATGACCAATAGGTACACTCTTTGTTTGAATAATCTTTATCCTTAAGTATGTTCTTACCCTAATTTTTTTTTTTTTTATAGTCAACTCTGGATAGCCTTATTCAACCCCAGATAGCATACTTATTTCATTAGGGAATAGATTATGTTCAGTTAAAGCAAGAACATGTTTCACTAATGTTAAAGCAATGCCAATTTAAAATTGTGCATGCGCACAAAAATTAATATTCACGGTCCCTCTCTGAGTGGGATTTGGAATGATTCAATATAAATACTTTTGAAACCCTGCTGAATTGGGTCAGCTTTGTCTTATTTGCCCTTAAGGGGAGAAAAACATGTTATTTCGTGTTTGCAATTTGAGTAGCCTGAGAGGTACTGGAATGAAGCCAGGGTCCACCAGATCTGAATCCCTGTAGTTGGATTTGTTACCTTTTATGCTGAGAGGTCAGAATATATGAAAGTGCCTTTGAAAGTGCTATATATCCTCTACTTGAATTCCAGCAATAGCCCCAAGAGAAGCCCAAGAGCATATATTGATTACGGGTTTTTTTCAAAGGCATTTTTTCAATACCAGGACCAAGAAAAGTGCAGGAACATGGGTAGAGTTCGAGTGGCACACACAGCTAAAAACACTTCTTCCCTTTTGCCAGTACCTTTTCCCCCAGCACGCTATGTAGTTTTCATGGGGGGGTTGCAGTATCTAGATATCAGGCCTTTTCTTTTCCACTTCATTTCCTATTTCAGGAGAACATAGCAGCTCTCGCCCCTGAGGAACTTGCTGGCTGGCAAGCCTCAGAAATTGAAGGGCGGCCTTAAGTGTAGCGCTCCCTTCAGATGCAGAAAACAGATTCCCTCTTCCTTTGTCCCCTGCAGCACCATCCCACAGGACATCCCAATTTCTTTGTGCTGCCTGTGGACAGGCGCATGTCAGGCTCTGGTGTGTGTGAGCAGGTTGTTTCCTACACAAGTATTTGGGAGAGGACGGTCTGCATGTGCTGGAAAGATCCTACAGCCAGAATCAGGTACGGACAGGCTTTCAGTAATGTATCACCATCCAAATCTCAGTGGAAGAGTGGAGACAGGCCACCTTGCTGTATTTACTGAAAATGTCATGGGCGTGGGCCTGAGGAACTGTGGATTTGGTGGGCATCTTTTTACACTTGACAACTGAGCAGGACTCACTTCGTTGTTCATCAGAAGAAGCAGAGTGAGAACAAGCATGAGGAGAGAGAGAGAACCCACCTACAGCTGTGTACGGAGAAGGGAATTGTGCAGTTTTGAGAAGGGTTAGGATACAGGAGTGAATTGTGTGGAAGAAGAGGGACCAACTGAACATAAAGGGACCAAGAATAACAGAATGAGGAAAGGTAGAGAGGGGTTGAAGGGTGTGCTTGTTTAAAGGGAAGAGGATAGATTTTGTTTCAAAAGGAGCACTGGAAGTACGGGAAGATAAAGGCAAATATGAGACTGAAAAATTGGTTTAGAGATGCTTGCAGTGTATGTCTTGAACCTGACCAAATGCGGGCTTTGCTGTTTGGAAGCAGCTTCTTTTCCAACAATTAACCTGACATTCACTGATGAGAATAGGGTGATAGCCCTTTCCTTTGAATACTGTAGAATCATAGAGCAGCCCAGGTTGGAAGGGACCTCGAAAGATCACCTGGTCCAGCCTGTTGTGGGAAAGGGAGCCTAGATTATATTCTCTAGTACCCTGTCCAGTCGTAGATAAACCTCATTTTCTTCCTGAAGAGGTGAAAGAGATGGGAGATACGTCAGACTAAAAGATTACAGATGAAGTCGTCTTTTGTTGTGATGGCCTAATTCTTATGAGTCCGAGAGATGAACAAGTGTCACACTTCAGCCTGGCTGAATCACCTGGAGCCAATAAAACACTCTTGCTTTGTTGATGTTCTGTTTAGGAAAGAACAGGAGACCTTATTTGTCTCCAGTTTGCGGATTTCGGTATTACAGGAGGCAGCTGTGGGCAACATCTGTCACCTGTCCTAAACGCAGCTTGTGGAGGCTTGCCTTGCGAATGTGTTCATAATAAGCTGTACTCGACTTACATCCTAGCAAAACACAGAGAATAGGAGAGAGGCCTGGCCCTAGCTGGCTATCGCTGTCCCTAGACCTTCACTAAAGTAAGGCTGTAGATCTGCTGGTGGAATCCACGCCAAAAAAAGGTTCACTTTGAGCAAATTCTACCAGCCTATAAGCAGTCTATAATCCCTATAATAAGCAGTCCTATAATTCCTAACAAATGTGGTTTCACTCACATGGGAAATCTCCCAACAGCAATGCACCGGGTACAGTGGCTCTGTGCAGCTGTTCTGTGAAGGAGCAGAACAGATTCAGCCAGTAAAATGTTGCTTAATCCTATTGGATTAAGAACCTCTGTATTTGCTTTGATCGTGCCAAAGAATGTATGTGCATATGTGTCTGCAAGTCCTGGAAATATTTTGACACAATATGGTTTATTTAAAATGCATATTATGCTCAAAGTAATTTAAAGGGTATAGGAAAAAATCAAACGTGCAGGCGTTGTAATGTTTCTGTGATTTCCCCACACGTACAGATGCACACACCCCTTTGTATTTCAGTGGTCGGATGTACTTGTGTTACACTACTGGTAATACAGCAGTAGCTCTTGATGATGTCTACAAGGAGAGGACTATAAGGAGAGGCTGAGGGCTTGTTTATCTGGGAAAGAAAAGCCTAAGGGGTAATATAAGGCAGCCTACTGCAATGGAGAGGGGAATTGAGAAGATGATGGAGCCAAACTTTTCCCCGTAGTGGCAGATGCTATAACGAGGCAGCAGCTGCAGATTGCTGCTTGGGAGGTTTTTGTTGAACACAAGGAAGATTTTTCTCACTGGAAGGGTAATGCCGCACTGGATTGAGTTGCTCAGTGGTGGTAAAATCTCCATCACCAGAGGTTTTCGAGACTTAGCTAGACAAAGTCAGAGTTAGGCAGACCTAGTGTTGGCAGTACACCCACATCGAGCAGGCGGCAGGCTAGATGATCCCCAGAGGCTCCCTCCAACTAACCTGTCTTTGGTCTGCGATTGTTTGTGAACAATTGTAGTTCAGAGGCAGATTACTTGAAGGTTTAGTATCTTTAGATCACAGGTAGATTTTTGAGTTGAATTTTGCTTCAAAGCAATACCAGGACTGGTATCTGAAGTCACTAGTATGTGAAATCTCTTCAAGTTTTCAATTCTGGCTAGTGAGACTGTTGAAATTACAAATTATTGTAAGACTTACCTGCTATATCTAAATGAAAAAGGACAACCTGGGTGCAACTGTGGGTGCGATGGAAGCTCATAATAAAAGACATCTTGTACTCTTGATCTGACCAAGAATTAAAAACATGGCATGTAAAGGAGAGGTAGGAACAAATACTGATATCTAAGACTACTCCTTATTAAATGATAATTGTGGGGTTTTGGGTCTCTTTTATAATAGTTGGAATTCATTGAAGTGCACCTGTAATGTGAGTAATGCTAATTATTGCAATTTGAAGCTATCACATACTGGAACTGTCGTTGACAATCTAGCCCTGCCTTTCTTCCTGCTCAGAGGAATCCCAATACAGCATGTTCTGTAGTCGTGGTCAG